GTTATACAGTAATGGAAATACTTCACACTCACAGGTTCATGTGCCATCATGACCATACCATTTAGTTTTCACCAGGGCTGTCGCCAGTTCCGGTCAGGGAGGGGGGGGAGGGGGGTGTGCCAAAGTCCAATAAAAAAAATACATACATGTACACATGCAATATGCATGGTTTTTGCCGTGGGGTGGGGGGGGGGGGGTGGGGAGGGATTCAATTGCTCACCAGGGGGGCCAGCCTGATCCCACCAGGCCCCTACTTGGTGACAGCCCTGGCTTACATCCAATCTAGATGCAAGGCTTCAGTGACTGTGGTAAAGCAAATGCTTTGTATAGGGTGTACAGGAATAAAAAAAAGAGTAGACTTTTAAGCTACCGGTAATATCCGCTCCATTCACAAGTACCCCCTCACCGGCAAAGAAAGTACAGTTGGGGGTGACCGAACGACGCCATCTTGCCCGACTGCAATATTTTGCCGCGAAGCACGGCCACTACGTGTACATTGTACAAATCCCCTGGTGTACATGCGTCACACACAAGGAACAGTGCGCGCGGGTCAACCAGCGAAATGTATGTGTCCCGCCCATGGGACGTCGTAGCTAACTAGGACCAACAAAAATATGGAAACAATTTGAACAGTTTAAAAAATGGCATTCCCCTTTAACAATCAGAATTAACTTAGGAATCCCCGTTTCATACGCACACCATTCTGTTGATGTACATGTACATGTACATGTACATGTGTGCGTGCATGTACATGTGCGTACCGGTAGCAGTATATACAAATGTACGTGTACAGTTCATCTGTAATTGTAATTCAATATGACAGATAGAGTTGACTTCATTTCTTCCTAACAATTTAAAGATGATTTACACTTTCTGGTCAATGGCAAATCTGGCGAAAATTAGGCATGCTCATCAAACTCCAACGTCCAGTCCCCCCCCCCCCCCCAAATTATACGAACATACCGTACCGTACATCTTTATTAAAATGCATAGAATTCATTGGGCCTGAGTGTGACCTTGTGGTTAGGCTTCATGACTCATGATTACAGGGTCAGGGGTTCAAATCCAGCTGCTGGCCATATGTTGTGTTCTTGGGCAAGGCACTTCACCCCCACTTGCCTCTCTCCACCCAGGAGTATAAATGGGTACCGGCATTATCTGGGGAGTAACCTGTGATGGACTGGCATCCCATCCAGGGGGAATAGAAATATTCTCAGTCCTTTCATGTGCCTAACCTGGAAGTAAACACCAGCCGGATGGGCCACATTGGCTCGTGACAGACTTTACTAAGGAATTCATAAACTGATCATGGCAAGACAGAATTTAAGACTTTTGTTATTAAGTGGGGGAATGTGGGCAAACCCATAGTTGAACCTCATACATATCCATTCCAGCGAACGCAGAGCACAAAGCGACGCTGCTTAGTATTTTGCAATGTTTTTATATTGAGTCACAAACACAAGTTGCTGCCGAATTTTATGTCATTATTCAGCAAACGTTAAACACGAAGTATTAAGCACAAACTTATTTTGACGATAACCTGAGGTATTTTCAATATTTTTGATGTATACCAGTATGATTCCTCAATATCGATTAAAATAGTGATTAAAATTTGCTATCAGCGATATCGATATAAAAAAAATCAAATAATCAAGTACTATTGATATATCGACGGTGCTTAATGCAGGCATGCAACTGTAAATACACCAAAAAAAAAGGAAATTCCTAAATTCAGAAGACTTTGTACAGTGATTTTCCAATTTTGAATGGCAGAAATGAGAATAAAAAAGAAGAAATTTCCTCATCCGAGGAAAAGTTGCATGCCTGTTAATGACTACAAACCTGAAAATAAAGTAATCTTGCACTTTCATGAAATCAAAATATCAAAATGTCTTTTGTGCTGGCCTTTAAAATGCTGTGCATCAGACTCTCGGAAGGAAACTCAAGACTTGCTGAAGGCGTCAGATCTTATTCATCCCTTCTTGAATGTGACCTGATAACAAGTCAATTGGATTTAGCAACACACGTCCCTCCCCGTGTACTGTGTCACTGCAGATGCAGACCAGGCGAGCATGAATCGCCGCGTGAGGTTTGACATTCTATTGCATATTAGCGTCTCGCCCCGCTGGGATCGCTCAAATCACATCACGTTCATGTTCAATTTCATCACCGGACATTTAATCCGGGGCTGGGTCGGAAAGTCGCAGAAATAACATGTTCTAGGCCATGTGTGTGACTGGCGAATTTGTTTTGCCGCCACTGGGCAGCATGGTGCATTGTTTTGTTCTTGTGGGTCATTCCTGTGGTGCACCCAAGGGGGGAGCTGGGGAAGGGGGGCTTAAATCCCCCCCCCCAAAAAAAAAAGAGGTTGTCAATATTTGTTTTAGTTCTAACTTCCGTGATTTTACCGTGGTGATATGTACGAGGCCTATTTTCGAATAATACAATAATAGGTGGATAAATGGTGCCACCGTCGTCAAAATAGTTCGTCTCCTCCCCCAACCCCATCCCAAAGTTTATTTTTCTGTGGAAAAAATTCTGTGCAACATTTTGGAAAAGTCAAACTTCTAAAAAAAAGCCCCCCCCCCCCCAAGCCACATCCTGGGTGCGTTACTGGGTCATTTCATAAAGTTGGGGTCCAAAAGTGTGACATTTCTTATATCCTTGTTACACCTGACCTACGTAATTTGCCATGCAGGTATCATTAAAATTAACTGCAAAGTATCATTTTTTATTGTTTGGCAGGCCTGTACTTTGCTTTTAATACATGACCACTGTTGGAGATGGAAGGCATTAAAGAAAATGTGAAATAACAAAATCTTCTAATATCAGATGTAACTGGGACACGAAAAGAATTAGACTCCAAATGTTCTGATTGCTAAATCATGTTCTGGTCAACAACAAAAAAAAGTAGGGCCTAAAGTCTGTCCCGAGCCAATGTGGCTCATCAGGCCGGTGTTTATCTCCGGTTTCCTTGGCATGAAACGACTGAGAATATTTCTACTCCCCCTGAATGGGATGCCAGTCCATCACAGGATTACTCCCCAGCTAATGCCGGTACCCATTTATACTCCTGGATGGAGAGGGGCAAGTGGGGGCGAAGTGCCTTGCCCAAGGACACAATATATGGCGAGCGGCTGGATTCGAACCCCGGACCCTCTGATCATGAGTCACGAATCCTAACCACTAGGCCACACACTCCCTCCTCTGGTCAGCAAAATCAAGTTTAAATATCTTGACAAATAGTGCCTCCTTCGTCTGATCCAATGTTTAAGATCGTCTGCTTTGAACGGCGACCAAAAATAATCATGTGGTGTCCAGCCAACCGCACCCCCCTTTTATTTGGCAGGAACCAGTAGACCAAGATGTTTATTTCCAGGATTCCTTCCTATTTTTGTGTTTTCTCTTCTTCATTCCTTCTTTATCCCTAAATTATCCTCACTGACCTTGGCTCACTAGTTCACCAGTATCTTAATAATTTCAGTGAAGGTTCAACGCAGGTTATGTTGTCAATTTATCCCGAGGCTATATGTTTATAGTCTCAAACATACCGTATGTACTGGTACAAGGACGATACCTTGACAATCAATAATAAAAAAAACCCCATAAAACAAGGTAAATAGAAAATAGCTTGCAGAAACGTGTCTGAATGCAAACTTCCGCTTATTATCAAGTTTTCATCCGATTCATATCAGTTCCAAAGACACTTTTTGGTCAATATCTTGACAGTGCCTGAATTTGCTGAAGTACATGTACTGGTTGTGTACCTGCAAGTTTAACTTGAGTCTGATCACAATGAATGTAAACTGTAGGCCTATAAAGGTTTGCAGCTTTTAATAATAATTAATAATTATCGTGATTATATAGCGCTTTCCATCATAATAACGATCTCAAAGTGCTTTACAATTATTGCCCTGTTCATTGGGCCATGGGATCAAGCGGAAGCCGATATCAGCGCTCAATTGGTCCTCGACCCTCACAGGTACCCATTCGTACTCCTGGGTGGAGAGAGGCAATTGTAGTTAAGTGTGTTGCCCAAGGGCACAAACACCATGTTCCTGGTACGGTTCAAACCCACACACGTACACCTTCGCACGTGAGTCAAACACCGTAACAACTGGACCATGGTGTTCTACTAGGCCTAAGGCTTGGAGCTTTTGGAGCCCCCCCCCCCCCCCCCTCGAAAAAAATGGAAGAGGACCCTGTACCCTTTGCCAAATATAAGGGTAGGCAGGTAGATTACAGAGGACGATAAGTGGACATCTGCTATTTTTCTAGCTCGAGCAGCGAAAAAGCAGATTGAAAGTTTTTCAACCTTTTCATTTTCTGCTTTTCTGCCACCTGAAAATCAGATTTTACTCAGGCGACCGTAATGAGGCCATCTGCTTTTCTCATTTTACAAAAAATGGCAATCTGCTTTTCTCATTTGAGAAAGGCAGAAAAGCCGATAGAATGTTTTGACAACTGTGTTTTTCTACTTTCCTGCTTTTTAGACTCTGGAAAATCCTATTTTACGTTAGAAGGCCGCGAAGCGGCCATTCGCTTTTCTGTTTTCAGAGGACTGTGCCAATCAAAAGTTTCAGTTTCAGCCATTGTTCTGTGTCACAGAGTGTTTGTACACGACTGTGGCATGTGAAATTGTTAATTTCCTCGACACCACTGTCTTGCTTGGGAATGACATTGGAAAAAATGTTGCAACCTGACGCCACTAACTTCAGCGGTTGTGTATAATTTCTACAGAGTCAAGAAAATTCCCAACAAAATTGGAAATGTTTCTCGGTCCCAGATTCATGTCTTATCATCATTATCATCATTATGAAGAAAAAAGTGGCGTCAGGTTGCAACATTTTTTCCAAAACATTTCCATGAATTCAGTCAAGGGAATTGAATTCAAGGAGGCAAACCAACATGACCAACGATATCAAAATCCAAAAGATTGAAACAGAAAAAAAAGATCAAGGTGTACTATTAGTATTAATTCATTGTAAATAAATACACACCTGTAATCAACACAACTTTATCCTTCACGTCCACAAACTGCTGGGGTAGATTCTGGTACAGCTTGTACACGGCCGCGGCGAAGACGAACACCCCGCAAAACCCGCCGAGAAAATACTGGCAAAACGGCTGGGTGATCGTGGGCAAGATCAGCACGAGCACGTACGGGAAAGTCAGCAGCAGTTCGTCCCGTAAGTAGCGCCGCAAGACTAGGCCGTTGAAGCCCAGCGTGATCGCTGAATACAGGACCAGTTTCGCGGACATGGTTGTCTGGATCTTGGCACGATTGGAAGACACAGATCGATACTCATGGAAGGATGAAAACACACCACCGACGAACAAGGAAATATTGCCGAGTGTTCTTGAACTGTGGCCTGCTGCATGCTGATATTATCAATGCATGTGTCGTACGACCGTACCCGCACACAATGACCTTTAGTATTTTTATATCAGCTGGCGCATGGCGCGCGTGTTGGATCATACACGTGCATGAAATACACGGTGACTGTGTAAAATGTCAACAGCACTGACAGTTTTCACAGACAGAGGTCGCCCTACATGGGGTCTGCCAGATGCAGAATAAAAGTGAGCTAGCACTAGTAGCAGTAGCAGGGTGCAACAAACACTAGTGCTAAATGCCCGTACTTCAAAATTCTTCAAAAAATACTCAGAACTCTCACAGGTATTTAAGCTGCACAACAAAATGATAATCAACATGTCATCTTTCATTTTCTTTTCATTTTTTGGTGGGTTGACCATCGACTTTTCGAGAAATTCCCACCCAAAGAAGACGACCCCTATTTTCCCCTGTGCGGACTCAAAGTAGCCATCTCGAAAAACCACAACATGGCAAATAACGCCACTTTCGAGCCCAACTGCATCCAAAATACTCAGAATTGGAAGCCCCAAGTCCGGGCCAGAGGTTCATTGCTATATCTCTTCAATTCCCCATTTTTATGGCTCTCAGAGCTCTCTAATATAAACTATTTTGAGGGTATAATCCCGTGGGCTATGGGGGGGGGGGGGGGGGGTCCCAGTGCACCCCCCCCCAACCCACCGCCACCGATGTTTTTTTGATCCTTTGCATGTCCCCAATACAGAGATGCCACTTTTCAGGTTTTAACCTGAATTCAGGTGTGTGTTTTAAAAAAATGTGACAAATTAAAAGTGCTGGATTTGGTCTGAAGCATCCAGAAAACACATTCTTGATAGGGGGTAAGGGTAGTTTCAGGTTTTTAGTAGTGTTTCAGGCTTTTTATTGATATACTGGTGGCATCTCTGCCAATAGGAAAAAAAATGTTGACAGTAAAAATTTAGGGATGCACTTTCTCAGGAGCCCATTTATTGAAACCGCCTTTGATTAAACTTGGATGCCTTTTCTTAGCACTAGGGTTGGAAGGGTAAGAAACAAAACGCCATAACCTGAGCAGACCTTGACGTATGACCGATCTTAATCAAACTTAGCACATCTAATCTTATGAAAAGCTCTTACAAAAATTGCATTTTAATTTGTGTAGGCCTACTGTGGCTGTAGGATCTGAAATCATGCACATGGGAAGTGGATTTTAAGAAAAGTGTGGCATTTCACTAACACTTTGTCTTCTTAAACCAGGGGCGGATCCAGGATTTTTTGGCGGGGGGGGGGGGGGGGGGGGGGGAGTTCATCAGCATGAATAAATGCTGAAATGTAGAATTTTTTTCTCCCCCGGACACTCGTAAAATCAAAAGGTTGGGTTGGGTTGGGGGGGGGGGGGGCATACCACACTTTCAAATGGGGCCGCTGTTCAAATCCAGGTTATTGACACTATTATTACAGGATAGTGTACAAATACCCCTGTAACCCAGCAGGCTCCGTCTGTATTTTGTGTACTGGCATATATTAATACAGTAAAATTGTTTTTGGGTGTCGGAGTGGGGGGGGGGGGGGGGCTACCATTATTTATTTTATGAATTTCTATGGAAATTTTTTTTGACAGAGCTGGGGGGGGGGGGGCGTTACGGATCTGCGCCTCAGTAAACTTTGTTCAAACCATTCCTCCATGTTCAAACTGACTTTGGGCAGCCAGGCGTAGACTGAAGAGAGGGTTCTAAAAAGGGGTACTAAAACAAAACATTCCTGTTTTGGTATTTTGGAAACAAAGACTTCATAATAGCTACGTTTACATAGCCAACAGCGCTCTTGATAACAAAAACACTTCACAATTTCACAAACTGTTTTTTTTTTCAAGATTTTTTTTCCATTTTATTCAATGTTTTTTTTCTCATGATTCTGCTTTTGCCTACTGTACTTTTGACTACCATATCTACTTTCTTAATATCTCCAATAATCCAACCCATGAAAATCATTAACTCACAAAAAAAAAATTAGACTCAAAATCTTTCTTGACAATATTATCTTACAAGTATACAATGAGAAGAAATCATCTAAAAATTTGTATAAGAGAAACTTCTTTTTAACAATAAATGGATAGGTAAACTTATTCTATTTCTGTGCAAGTTTTGATTCTACTACTATATATAACAAAACCGAAGAAAATCCAACCCTGAGTTTAAAGTCTTCATCCTTAAATTTACACATTTTTTCTTACAATTATTTTTGTTTGCAAATCACACCTAAGAAACCGAACAAAAACTGTACATTTTGTTTACTTTTACCAAAGTGGAAGAAAATTGGGCAGTGCAAATAAACCCTGGCCGATAGACCTATAACCAGTTTAATCCACCACTGTTTGTCAATAAACCTGTTTAGTTTCCGATAAACAGACTCATTAACATAATAGCTTCTTTAACCAGGTTTATAGCTTCAAGACAGCAGTTAATTGAGGTAGTAACTTTTTTTCTGTGAACACTCAACATTTAGTTATTCAGACCGACTGAAGGCAATAACACATTTTTTTGGAATTACAAAATCTCACAAGCGGCATGACATGAATATTCATGATGTAAATTCTATGCAAATCACACAATATACATGTAAGCCTGAGTTGTTCCTGATGCAACTCAATGCGAGTTTACACACGGCACTAATGTTTCCAGTCCATGGCGTCCAGTTTGCATTTTTATGAATATTCATACACACATTATCAAATGGAAATGCATTATTATATAACTCATTAATTTGAATATTCATTGATGAATATCCCCATTTTGACCAATGAACAATTACCATCTACACACAAACAATGACACAATTTGCATATCGTAGGAAATGCCCACACATACATGTACACAGGACTACACCGTTGCAGAACATTCTACACATGTCAAGTTTTTCTCAAAATCAAACTTTTGCATATTTTTTAGTTTCAATACATAAACACACATTAAACCATTTTTCTCTGTACTGACATCTTACCTATAACACTCACTACATTGGTTACTTTTGTAATCTGCACTTTTTTCTGGCAAGGGAACATTCATGGGTAACTTTTTTTCAAAAAAAAAAAAAAAAAATCACAACTTTTTGTCACATTTCTTACCAAGACTTCTACGAAACAAAAAAACACATTGTATTTTGGGTTAAGGGGATTCGTTAGGGACTCCTATTTTTTGAGAAAGATGGATACGATTATTTTTCTCCACACCACCAAATACCTACACTGTAGATTACTTGTACTTAAAACAGGAAAACAGATCTAATATTCACAATAAAACAATAATCTACCTAAGAAAAAAACCAACCATGCTCATTATCGCACCAATGCAATTGGCATCCATTTAAACACTGACGAGGTCGCGACATATGACCTTTCAGGTCACACACTGACGACCTCTGACCTATAAGAGTATTATGGAAAATGGCTTCCAACCCCTGAGACTTATAGCAAGCGTTGACAAAATACTTCACTATAAAATATAACATGGAAAGCCATAATCCAGCATGCAATACTCCAAAGTCTTGTTTTTATATCATTAACATATATATTTTTAAATCTTTTTTTTTTAGTTAATGTCGCTATATCAAAAAAAGTTTTACGACGCTTTAAAAAACAATTACTCCATTATATACAAGAATCCATTTCACTTTACATATTTCTAAACCTAAGCAATGCACATTTTATCTTTGATTTACGTTGCCTTGCAGTTAGTTGCCACGGTAACACTGTCTGACAAATTTGGCCTCTTTTGACCTTTGAACTCTGCACTCTGAAACTTTTGAATTGCCTTTTAAACTTAGGGACTTTTATCATACGTTCTGTTGCGTGTAAAAAATACTTTTATCAACACTTGTCCCAATGAAATGCTTTGTTTGACAACTGACATCACTCTTTAACATATAACAAAGAACCTCATTGGACCAGCTTTCTTATCCCCTTTTAAGAAAGGCAGATGTCCAGTTTATTTATTTGTTGAAGTGTCTTCAATCTTGTAACAAACAAAAAATAGTTTCAATGGGCATGCAATAGTATTGAGTACACTTCGTCCGCCGTACCCCCCTCCCTGCAACAGGCTGCTGGGAAGGGATAATGCCGCTTAACAGAATCTTAAGAAGGAAGTACGGATGGCATTATGGGTAACTTATCATGACCTTCACATGCAGCTAGCACGCGCTACATCACAGGTCACGCAAAATCTATCCAGTGAGAGCCCAAAGAGATCAGCCCTTCCCAGTGCCCTGTTTGCTGGGCGGGGCCCGGGGTACGAGCGAATACACTTCGTTGTGAAATAATTTTTTTCTCAGTTATTTTCACTGTTTGGAATTCGTGTCCACATCCAAGAAATGCTTCGTTGAGAAATTTTGAACAAAATACGCTTCGCAAAATTGTGTGGAGTAAAAAAAGGAATTTAGAAAATGCAAAACACAATATGCAATCTTTATATTTAGCATGCAACTGCATATTATAGACAGGGTATTACTATTAATCACAACGTTGTGAACGGTCGACTAAATGTTTTACAAAAATATCACCATAAACAAAAACAAATCAATGGGAAAATAACATAGCAAGTACGTCATCTTCATACAAAACCCTCAGAGTGTAACGTGAAAGCAAAATGAAACACAGGTTTCCCTCCACCACATATGATTATGCAACAGAAAAAAAATCCCTCGTTTTAAGCATTTTTAGAGTTTATACAACAAGATCTCTGTTTGACAGAGCCTTAGTTTTATACACAAGTGTTGCTATTTTGTTTTTATATAATATACTATTGGGACGTTTCATCTTCATTTTTTTTGGACCCAGATGGTCCAGTCCGAGGTACTAAAAGCTGTGGTTGATTTTAAAATTTACTAAATGCATTACTATAAAAATTACTGACAGGTTTCTTTCAGAAAAGAAGAAAAAAATAAATGAAATATTCTAAAGGGCATATTTATACCAAAAAAAATCAACTAATGTTATGGGTAAATTATTATAATGTCTAGTATGCTTCAAATGTCAAAAACGGCGGGATGCGTAGATATTAATTTTTTTTTTTTAATGAGGACATTTACAATGCAACAAGAACA